ATATTATTATAATAGTGTACAAACAATGGTGTTTGCTTTGCGGACAAGACGTTCACCTCGTTAAGCCCGGCCCGTGAATTGAACACCCCCGCTGACAAAAAGGGGTTGACTGTTATTTGTAATACCTGTAAAATAATTGCTTTACCGGTCATTTTATTAGTCCGACCAGGGGAACGGTCTTAATTAATACATATATACTCCGATGACACGTGTGTGTGTGTATATAATTTATAAGTTTCAATATAAAACTGAAATTAATAAAAACAAATGTTCTTATTAACAACGTCTAGCACTGTAAAAATTACTTGAAAAATGTTTTTTTTTAAATGGTGAACGGTGCCAAGAAATTTAAAAGGTTTTATGTATTTTTATCACCGCAGTCGAGGCAATAAATTTATAATATTCTTTCATGACAAAATCCGTTTGTTTACCTTTTTGTCAAAGTCTGTTTACAATAAACAGCTAATTTCTTTCTATCGACCGAGGAAATAAGCCATTCCATAGCATATTATTCTAAGTTTCTTTAACGTGGTAAACAAAATATATTTAAGTTGCAAAAACAACGGATGGGTTTAATCATATATTTTTATTTTAGTTTTTGGAAAGCCGTTCGTGTTGACAGACTTCATCGTAAAGTGATACGTTTGTGTGGCTATCGATTTAACTTCATCAAATTTGCATAACTGTGAACTGTCGCCAACGTTTCGACCTCAGCTCTGTGTGTTTATATAAATATTACATTTGGTAAACGATACAGAAAACACAAGAGAAATAAGTGTTGGTTGTTACAGTCGGTCGTCGACGGCTGAGCGTTTATTGTTCGCCTGCATTAAGCATAGTCAAAATTAAATTTATACACACACGGGGATTGTAGTGGTTTTGGCGTCCCCCCGGGGGAGAAAAACAATTCCCACCAGAGACCATAAATTACATTTATTTTTAATGTACACGCATAACAAGAGAGACCATTTTTTATTTTGAACTCAAAAAAAAAAAAAGCTCAACCGAAATTACGATTAGTGTTAGGGCGGGGGTTTTTTTTTAATGAATTTTTACTCAATTTTTTGCGTTATTTTTTATGCATGTTCGATGCAAGTAAATGATATACCGCGATAATATTTGCCGATAAAGTACAATATCGCTGCGTTTTGTATACCGATTTTGGATAATAATTACTTTTGTGAGTTATATTTTGAGCGTTTAATGTTATAGGCGAGGCCAGGGAGTACAGTGTAATGTGTTTTTTTATCTAAAAATAAATAAATCGGCCTTTTAGCACCCATATAGAATTTGTTGAACTATATAACAAAAAATTTCCCTACCTGAGAACGTAATGGTGGACAGATCAACAATATTATTATTAGAACTTAGTAATGATGATCTATTATCTAATCGGGCGTCTGAATATAAATAAAATAAATCCTAGTTATTTTTTTGCTACAAGGAATAACATTGAATCATGATATCAGTTAACTTTTATCATTTAACTCTTCTCTTATCCCTTATCTTTTGTCTCTGATCTCTAATATGTTATCCCTTATCACTAATCTCTTATATTATATCTTCTGGTTATTTTCTCCGCTGCACGGAAAACCATTGATTCGTGGATAAAATGTTAACTCTTATTACTTATCTCTTGTCACGTATCTATTATCATTTACCTCTTATCACTTATCTGTTATCACTTACTGAAAGTGTAACGCGAAAATGATGACATGACATTTCTTGTATCCAGTCCAATAACATATCCATGTTGAAAAAACTGATAGCGCTCTGGAAAATACCAAAAAAAAAAGTTTATATTTGATGAAGTCGATTAAAATGTTTTCTCAAAGAAAAACTAAACAGTTTAAATTATTTTCCGATACTATAGTGTGTTACATTGTAAAATAGATTACCCTGTATACTGTAATATGTTTTTTCGAGTGAGACGACCGTCAACAGAGTTAAATTATCATTCGGTTAAATGGTACGCTAGATACCGCACACGTGACAAGAATTTTATTGTAAAAGACTTACATTTAAAGCCCATGAAACTTGAGAGTGTACATAAATGTTATATCAAATGGAGTCTTGTTCGTTTTGATTTGACTCGATAAAGATCGTAGTATCAAGTATCTAAAACAATAAGCATACCTACTAAATGTTTAGAAATACTTAATAAAATATTCCACTATATTATATTTTTTAAACTTATTATATACAAATCTCATATCATTTATCTCTTGTCTCTTATCTTTTGTCTCTGATCTCTTATCACTCATCACCTATATCTCTAAGTGAAAGTGTAACGCGAAAATGGCAACATGAAATGTCTTGTATTCAGCCCAATAATATACCATCCATGTTGAAAAAAATAATAATCTTAAAGTGTCTTCCGTTATCTTCCGTGACAGAGACTGGTTATTATATTATAGTCAGCGAATCGCCGTGTACATCCAATAGTAATTATAATTTTATGCCTGTGGCGAAATTGTTTTATTCATGGGGTGCATATAGATATGTGTATATGCTGTGTGTATTATCGTGTAAGGTAAATCGAAACGAGACTAACGCGTAGGTGAGCTGGGATGTGATTTTTCGTTTCTCGAGGGAAATTTCATGCGACTACCGAGAACGACGTTTGCAGTTTTATTTATTAGGTATTCCGTGTTTTGTTTGTTTGGTGTTTTATTCGAGTGATCCGCGCTGGTTAAAAAAAAAAAAATATTTAACTAAATTTTTATCATGTCCCCGGGTTATAGGGGTCCGGATCCCAAAAACCGTAGGCCAAGTACTTTTAACCCGCCATTAGGTCGGTCACCATACCGTCATTTATCTTGGCGTTTAACTCCGAACAAATACAGTACATTTTCTATTGTGTCCCAACGTCCCCCGGAGGGTTTAGCCGTGTATTTTGTTTTTTTTTTTTTGGAAATCTGTTCTAAAATCTCGCATTCGTCGCTATTGAAAATAATATTATTGAAACGTTTGTATACCCACAGCAATAAGCCTGATAAATACATATATATATATATATTTATATGCATGTGTATACTACGGCCAATACAATATATGTATAATATACATTTTTATTTTATTTCTTGTATTATTGTACTGATTTTATAACAACTAAATATTGTACTTTCGGCTAAATTCGTCTAGTCAAAATTAAGATAACTACAAACAACCTTAACTGACATATCGAAATTGCCTTTAATAGTTTTAACTAATTATTTATAGCAAAACCAACTCATGTACTTGCTTGAATTGTTCGTTACTACCATTTCCTTCCATTTCCAATTTTACAAATTTCAATAAAAAAAACTCTTCTAAATCGGTTCATCTGTCATAGCGTGATAACACACTTATATAATATAATCAGGACATATATTATGTTTATCAAATTCAACAAGTTGTATTATGCTCATCTATTGGAATCTCAGTTCGATATTTTTGCACAAAACCTCAGTTAAATACAAATTTAAAGTTTTAAAAATATAATAATACATACCACCCTCCAATTATTTATTGGCCTTTCTAAAAATATAATTGTGTTTATTTTAGGACAAAAACTTTTACACAAACATCTACGGCATTGTCCAAAAAGTTCAAGTTCATTGTGGAGGGCGTTTAAAATGGGCCATATATAAGTTATTTTTGGAAGTAGCCGCTGTCAACCTTAAACATTTTGTTGAAGTGTTCTGTCAATTTACTTGTTTTTTTAATTTCTGTATAATATGACGCAATAGGAAAATCTTTATTTCCACGCCAATTGTCTATACTACAGCGTGGTGATCCGTCTTCTATAAAACAGACATTTTTTTAAAATGTTTTTTCTACATGTATATGTAATTTAAAACATATGTTGCCATTGAAAAAAAAAACGATATCCATACTGAAGAGTTTTGAAAAAATATAGTAAAACATGTACCTACAAGTACAGGAAAAACAACATTTTCAAAAATATATTCATATTTCTGAGAATGTGAGTGTTTTACATCAAACGGATCGCTCTGTATAGTCTACTGCAATATACGTTCCATCCGGATTTTGTCGATGCCGCGCTCAACTTTACACCATTAAAACGACAAATCATACCACGTCGTTCATCTCTTTCAGTTCTCAAACGTCATTTTTGTCACATAGGATATCCGGTCGGTCCAATGAGTGTGTGTTATTATTTGGCACACGATTTTTTTCGCATCGCGCTATTTGTCAAATCCACCGACTATCGTCCGAGTCGGGTGTTAAATTCGTTTTTAATGTGATTATACTAAGTGTGCGATGAACCGGAGTTTGGTTTTCGGTTGGTGTAGATAAATTATTTCTATGTAATAATTCTGCGTACAGCCGCTTTTGCCTCGGTCGTGGCGGCTACGTGGCGGTAATTAAAACTGCGTGGCCGAACCCTAAAAGGTAAAACAAACAAAGCAAAAAAACAAAAAAGGCCACCGGGACCTCCTAACGGTTAATTAAAACGTCCTTTATAAAATGTCTGTCAACAAAGTCACCGTGTGTTGTTATAATATAGTCTTACATGCGAGTAATAATACGACGGCGCCTCGTTAATTATTATTACAAACGTCACTCGCCTGTTATTCGACATTCAAAGGTCAACCGCGGTACTAGTGTGTAGTGTTACATGCAAGGCGGATTTAACACCCGTTCGTTATAATTACTGATCTATCGAATCAGTGTCCACCGGCTTAGCCGAATCCAATGTTATGACAAATACAATTGCCACACGTCGGTGGTGAATAATAATAATAATGAATATACCATCAGCTGTTGTCCAGGGTACTGGACCCTACCCCCCAACGGAAAAAACATCAATTATGGATATGTTATCTCTTATCGCGTACCTGTTATCACTTACCTCTTATCACTTATCTCCTCTCTTATCACTTATGTCTTCCTGAAAGTGAAAGATATTTTTACCTGTAGTAATAGTAGGTCTCTAATTTTTAGGTTTTCCCATCCTAATTTCGTACCTAACCGTAACGCTTTGACTGTTTCAGAATGTAAAGATCTGTTCGAACTCACGGCCGTCGTTCCTAGGTACGCTAAATTGGGCGAGAGCGTGGTACTCAAGTGCAATCACACCGTTTCCGAAAACGATCTATACAAAGTCCAATGGACCAAGAGCGGTAACAAACTGTTCCAGTACATCCGGGGTCGAAAGCCGCCTTACATCAACAACTCCATACCCGGTGCTCAGATAGACGTAAGTACAGAACAGTCATATCATCGATACTGTTTTCTCTGAACTCGACTTGGAAACCTCTTGCCTCCACTGACAGGGGCGGACCTGAGTTAAAGTTTACATAGTACAAAAAAAAATACTTATTCTATTATACGTATTATATTGTAAAAAAAAAATAAAAATAAAAATACACTTTTAATGCATGCAATTCAAGTATATAAGTGAGGCACTTCAGCTCCCATAATCTCCTCTTGTATCCACCCCTGCCACCATATGGTTTAAATTCCTTATTGTTTTACTGACTTGTTTATTTTCATTTATCAAACCAAAATTACCCTTTTGTGAAACGCGTTCCCACCCCAGTTTAGACATATTTTATTTTCTACTAAGATTATAATATATATTTTAAGTTATGATCATAACATACAATTTTGGTCAATACATAGAACACAAAAACGCAAACCATTTTTTTTTACACGTCTATTTGCGAGATATCCGTGGAATTGTTATTATAAAATATTTGTCTGTACAAAAACACTGTTTTTTTATTGTTACTACATTTTTTAACCCTTGACTTGTTACCAGGTGTAACGCCAAATGGAAATCAAGGTGAATTATACGTGGGGTCACGCTATTTGTTAAAAATAAAATTAAAAGAGTAACAAGTGAAACACTTTTACTTTTTAAGACTGACAAGCCGCCCCTTTTAAGGGTTTAAAACGAAATGCATTCGATTTGTCGTTTAGTCGAAAGTGATTAATCATTTTATAAAATAAAAAACTATTTACAGCTTAACCGACAAATGATAATCATAATAATATCAACCCACCAGTTAAATTCGGAACAAAGTATTCCGATCCATATCAAAAGCTTTTGTAGATTCGTGGAAACAACAAAAATTATTTAAATATTTTTGGAAAGTACCTAGGCTGAAACTGAAGCACTGCAGACCTTTAAATTAGTTTTAGTGGGTCCAGCGATAAAATGAAATTGCTGTGAGACGTTTCCCTCCTCGGAAGATGTTATCCTTTTTACCGGAGACCGGAAACGGCGAATAAGGGACGAAACGACTATAATATAAACCCATGGGGGAATATTATGAATTAGTCGCTGCCGCCTGTGTGTTCAAGCTGTTCAAGAAGAAGCAGCTAGAGTAGTTGGAAGAGAGGGGAGGGGGACACAGACCGTTTGTTGGCGACCAAATTGGGTAGAAACGGGACTCTAACGAAATTAAGACCGAAACCGCAGTCGCTTATTGTTGTGACAAACAAACCAGCCGCCACTTTGGCTCTTGTTTTCTTGTTATCTTTGCTCACTACCACCACCTGGCTGTGCCAGCTGTAAATGTCGCTATAGGCACAGTTCTACGTTTACTATGTGTATATTATTATGTGTGTAGCCTATTTATAGGTGTATAGTGTATAGCTTTATAAAATAACCGAACGACTAATCGTTTGAGTACGTTACGCCTTAGGGTTAACGGCTATCGGGTTGTCTTAGATAAATACACTTAGTAGTCAGATCCAGAGTTGAATTTTCAGTTCAAAGTAACTCGTGATGGTTTCAACCCTATATCAAAGTGCTTTTTACAAAAAAAAAACCATTAGAATTTTAAGCTTGTGCATAAGATTTTAGATTTCTTTTTTGGAGATACTTTAGTTTCTGTTATTATAAAATTGTAGAAAACATTCAAATTTTTATCTTTTTCATTTTTTCAACAGCGTTATTGACTTTTAAACGGGAACGTTTATATTTGATTAACTTTTTTAATTGAGAATAATTTGCTGAACATTTTGACTGGTCGATAACCAGTTTTAAATAATTACTTTTTAAAATGTATTAAAGTTTGAAATTTAAAACAGGAGAAAAAGTGGAGTAAAGTATTATTTTTGTTTGCTACGCACATTACTCTACCACTCTTCTCCCCTCGACCTAAATTTCAAAAACTTAAATAACTTTAAAAGTAACAGCCCTAAACTGAATATCGACCAGTTAAAATTTTCAACAATTCTATCTTAATTTATAAAGCTATTTAAATGTATGTTACCGTTTATGTTTCAATAGTTGGCTCTGGAAAATATTAAAAACGGTAAATATTTAGTAATTTTTTAATATTGCCAGAAATTTGTAACTGTTACAAAAAAATGGTTTCAGATAAGTTTTTTATAGTTTCAAATCGATTAGAGCTGTGATCTCATAATAGATCTCTTGGCCGTACGTTGTCACTCTCTGAAATATTAATCATTTTACTATATCTGTGAGATCCCAAATTAAATATCATACCATATAATACCCTTATATTTAATCTCGACTAATAATTTATTTTAAAGTAAAAACTATAAACTTGAATTGATCATTTGATGCATATAATATATGTTGACATCAATAGTACTGCATAACATAACAATACCAAAGTAATACAAGTCTTTTTATTATTGAAGTAAAAAAAATTAGCATAATACCTGATACATTTAGTTGTATAATGTACATTAATTAGCATTATCTATATGAAATATATTATAATAAAAAAGTCTTTGACATTTGAAAAACATAATACAAACAACTTCTACAAATTACACCCAACTTTGTGGTCTTTAAAAAAACATTTGGCACATTTTAGTTCTTTATAATAGTAGGGTACTTATAAAAAAAACTACCATTTGTAGCAGTTATGTTCATAATACTTTCGTCACTAGAACATAATATAGTACCTATTGAATTTGAAATAATTTTAACTTAAACAAAAATGTAATTAAATTGTTATAATAGTGTAAAATCCAACTTGTAGACATATTAACTTCACCATTCTCCAGTTCGGATCATTATCCGTGTCATCATACGACAAACAATCAAATAATAAATTTAAAATGTCATTAATATGGTTAGTGTCCATTATATATTTATACAAAAAATATCATAATAGGCAATACAATATGTAGTATACTATATGTTATTCTACTAAAATGCCATGACACATATAGCTGATAAATTTTGTATTGTTTTGTACAAAACAATAAAAAATGTTAATCATTATTTATGTTAATTATTTAGTGGGATAACACGGAACCCTCACAACTGGGTCTTCTCAACTTACAGCACGATGCTTCCGGTCAATACGGTTGCACGGTTACCTTGGAATCGCCTATTTATAGCAAAAATTCAGAATACCGAGACCTCACCGTTATCAGTGAGATAACAAATGCAATTTTTATTTTATTATAAATCTGCGTACCGAGAACTACATTTTCTCTTGTTTCCTTAGAAATTCAAGAAAGAGACCCGGTAATAAAAATATCCAAAGTCGTATTCAACGTGGGCGAGATCTTGGAAGCTACTTGCACTTCGGGTCCATCGAAACCCGTACCGGAAATAACTTGGCTCATCAACGGACGAAAGGTAATTATTATTAAACGTTTGTGTATTGACTTAATAGTTAAACGAACAATATATATATATATATATATATCATCGAGCAGATAACTTAAATATATTAGAATTTATATATACTGTAAACGAACAAATATTTTAAAAAAAAAATGCCCTTTTTGCTTTATGTGCAAATATGGCCATCAGATGATCGTCGCACCGAGATATTTAAATCTAAATTGCCATTTACAGATACATTTTACATAATGTTGAAGTGCACGTGAGTACTGTTGCTATTTAATGGCAGTCTGGTTTATGTGCCATGAAAAAAATTAAATAAAAATTCTTTTATATAAATAAAATATTCGAACAATCACAATGTGTAAACGTCCATATTATATAGTCTCGACTGAGATCGTATAACTACCCGGATTCAATTATATTTTGTATACTTAACACAATGTATCGCGCAATGATCGTAAAAAAATATTGTCCTATAAAAATCTGATTATGACAAAAAAAAAACAATCTGACTTCATCCGAACCGACTGCGCCAGTCATACCACCGTTCACCATCGCAACGGTTTTGGGAATCCTTCGCTGAGCTTGTCACTATTTTTATTATGGGCGTCTGGAGTTTATTAAAACAAAACAAACAAATTACAGCTTATTCGTTAGATAGCTTTTCAAAGAAACGATATTATTTTTTTTACCAATTTATTATGATGGCAATAAACACGGGATAGTTAAAAATCCCCCGGTGTAATGTCACATAAAAATAACTCTTCTCTTTCTTTCTGTTTTTATCTACATGACGAACGAGCTAATTCAATTGGCAGAGATTTAACGGCCTGACCATTTTGTTTGAATGAGTAAGGTCATCGCGAGCGAACCGGAGAGCACAGCGGTGTGGGTCTAAGGTGAAACTATCGCCATAAGCGTATTTAACTCGATGGAAAAAACGTGTTACTTCAAGCCGATACTGTGTAATTATTGGGTTATGCAATCAACCGGCGGTACCGTGGAAATAATAACTTTATCCGACACATGTTCGACCGGCGTACGTGCCCTGGATACGGTCGGCCGCATTATGTGTGTAAGCCCGCCGTTCCTGTGGGTGTGATGATGATATTGTTCGTCTGGCAAGTACGCTTTTGGCGACACGTGTAACCGCGCAATATTAATGACTTCGATTGCCATGTATAATGAGCCGCCTGTATAATGGACGTGTCGTCCATTCGAACAAGTGGTTAACGAAATATCAAGTCCTGCCACGACGTGTCCTGAGGAAACACTACGCGAGCTATGCGAGTCGAGTCCTAATGACTAGCTTTTGCTTGTGCTTACCCGTACCGGTAGTTCGTTAGTGACTTGTTGTTTAATCAGACCGATTGGTGTGTTTCAGCCGCCCGACACGTACATGAAGCCCATCGTCAAAGCTGCGTTGAACTCGGCCGCGGCCATGCTGTTGACACTGCCGGTGTCAGAGCGACTAGGCGCCGAAGTGCACCTCACCTGCCTGTCCACCATTCCCGGGTTCCTGGGCCACAATCATCTGGATTACGCCGACTACAGAACGCAGTCTATCATAGGTAATAATGCCACTGCAAAAGTCTTCCCGGATTGTTTGCCTTGCATCACTATCTCGTTTCTTTATAAATTTCGGCACCGAAAGGGTTGCGGCGACTTAACGCGCATTCACCTCTCGAATAATGCATTTAAACGACGCAGTTCAATTATAATCATTTATCAATATACATTATAATACTTAATACATCTTCTACCTTAGCGTTATTCTACCCTGCTGTGAGACAACAATACGGGAATGGTATTTTAGAGGTTTTCTTTTCCCGGAAGGATTTTGTTCTCGGCGTACCTTATGGAGATTTTCTCGGACTTTACTTCAATATATCTACAATAAACATTCAGTTGTACATATACACCGACGGAATTATCGCCGGACGAGATTAATAATAAAACTGAATGGTTTACACGCCGTAATATATTGACCGGGCACCGTTTAGGACTAATCCCCCGACCGTAATTAACCGATCCCGAACGACAACCCACATTATACTATTAACAAAACCGAACGGTTCACTGTAATATAGACAAAATCTGTCCAGTTATTCTTGTCGGTCTCCGGTTATAAACGCGTCATTAATTTTGTTGTTTCGATTCAGTTTTCAAAAAGAGCCCGTACTAGCCTCGTTTAAAAACATTCGTGCTCTTATTTGTCGAGATTTGTTTATTATGATAACTGCTTATTTATTAATGAACACACCATTTTAAAGACATAAAATAGTTTGGCTTCAGTTACTCTACCTGTATCCTAAATTTTAGGCTTCAAGTCTTAAGAAAAGTCTTAGAACTAATTTGAAATTTTATAAAGCGGAAAAGTTGAAAAACATGGAATTTTTTGGGTGTTTTTTCCATTATAAAGGCGAATAGGTGAATTTATTTCATTTTTAACCTAATAAAGAAGCTCTCGGGTAAGATTTGTAATCTATAGTTTTGCTACATGAAGAATGGTTCAATGGTTTAAAAATAAAAACACATCATTGTAAAAACAATACATTCTCAGCTCTGCATCGCAGCTAAAAAACGTTTGATTAATTATTCATCATTAAAGCTTATAATAATTGTGCTCTTGCAAAAAAATACAGTAATATATCAATATGACAATAAAAACTTATTTGGTTTGGCCGGCACTCCATGTAGGCAATATTGACACACCAACGTTATGTGCCCACGATGTAAGAAGTAAGGCAAATGTTCAATAAAACTTTGTATAACATTAAAACTACTTAAGCCTAAAAGCTAGTACATAGATTTCATTGACAATACTATTATGCACACTTCTTCAACTTCATGGTTGTGTTATTTCGGGTCGGGTGGTAATGCAATATGGTGACAGCTAGCAAAAACTGCAACACCGACTCCTGTTAATGGCACTACTCACAACGATTGTTATCTTCTTGAAGTTAGACAAGTAATCAAAGAAAGACTCAAAACAAGATGCACTTAGCAATAATCACGAAGACCAAAAGACAGAAACACGTTAGATCGAATCAGTTGCTCGTTAAATAAATTAATTTAAGTTACAGCCCTACAAAGTTTTCATGACTAGAAAAATTGAGCTACTCTACCATTGATCAGGTTCATCGAGTAACAACAATCATTAAATAAATATTTGAAGAAAATATATACTTTCTCAATTATTTCTACACTATATAATATCTTTGGCATTTAGTACTCAAGCTGAAGCAACAGAAATTGAGTGAACATAAAACAGAAGGATTTATCTTACCGGGACTTATTTTGTCCACAACACATATGCGTTAAGAAATCTAGTATCGCAGTATGTGCACATGCCAGTTTTAAGAAGAATTTTCAGTAAATATGTTTTTGAACATTTAGCTTCTTCTTTAAGGGAGTTTTTGTTCAGTTTAATTGTCCTATTAGCTAAATAGAAATGTCTGGTTATTCGGTCACGTTCCATTCGACCATAATACATTCTAGAATACCCATGTTGTTCAGAGCTCTTACCGAGCGACCCTGTTCTGCCCTCGTCTGTCCAAGTTTTCCATTTATTATTTACACATAATAATAACAACGATTTTCTCTCTCCAAAGGTCGCCGCAGTCCACCCGGGTTGAATTAAAGTAGTAAAATATTATGTTGTATAAACAATGAAACAAAAGCGACAACCATCATTAATACATTTGTTTTGCACGAGGTAATTAATTTAAACACGAACAATATTTGTTTTTGACCAAAAATTAAAATTCGCATTTATACAAGACCTTTTTAATTCTAAAGGATTTTTTTATGAACGGGATACCTACCTTTGTTTTGTAAATAACAACCGTTATTAAACCATAAATCTAAATAAATGGTTGTAGACGATTTTTTTTTTGTGGTTGCAAAATATCATTCATTTGATATAAATAGTACATAGTAACATTATATCTTTGTTTTTATTTTATTTTACAGAACTGTTTGCTAAACGTGTCTTGCAAACAGATTATTTCTCTAAAATCTGTCTCTTAATATTAACATTTTTTTTTACTTTTTGAAAACGGTGTAAGACGGGTGATTAATGCACGTAAACAAAGTTAATATAGCACTACTTAGAATACAAAAAACGTGGAATTGGTGAAGAATACTACGTGTAAGTTGAGCTAAAAAGTAAAACAAACCATTTAGTACATCAAAAGACATTTTTAATGAGTGTCACAAAAGAAAGTGGTGGTAAATTGTACGGACAGCCGTTGGAATTATATTTATGAATTTGTAATGTAGATATCATTTGGAGTCCAGAACATTAAGATTATTTTCTTTGCAATAATTGTGAGGATTCCTTTATGCTTGAAATTTCGCCCGTCACTCTTATTAATTTTAATTTTTTGTTAAATAATTTATATGGCCCACATGGCTACCGAAGTCAGATACAGATCATATTCAATAAAGTGCCTTTGCGCCTGTTTAAATAATCTTTCTAATTAATGAGAACCTAACCTACGCTTAACATAACCTAGTATCGAAGTTACCGGGTGCTCTCCGAAGCAGACGCGATTCGTTAATAATTCATTTTATTATTAATATTATTATTTACAATGTCGCTTATTGTGTTGTTTCAGTGAGTGTGGCAGCCAAACCCGAGCCCGTTACCGCGGGTTGCGCCAAACAAATCATCAACAAGTTGACCGCGATGATCACAGCCACCGTCATCGTCTTTGGGATACAAAAACGATATTAATTAACTACTCTTCCAATTACTTACACCGCTCTATGTAACCGTAACGGTGTATTTACCGTGCATTTATTGTTGTTCCTCCCGCCCTCTCCCACACTGAGTTTCTTATCGTCCATCCTTTCCTTTTGTCTGCTTATCTCTGAATATTTATTCTCAATAGCGTCTCGCTCCTTAAATAATTTACCGTGGCTTCGGATCTCAATCAAGTGAGTACCGGTTGAGCTATACATATGTTTGAATAGTAAAAATTAATAAATAATATATAGTACGTTGATTGATAAGTCTTAATATGTCCAATTACAGACCGTTAAACAAACCCAAAGCTTTGTATCGAAGCCAAACATAATCATCCATTAACGAAAATTCTCTTTTAATTTTCAAATTGGTTGTTGTTTGTGTAGGGTTCGTTTGGAATATTTAAACCCAAATTTACAAATTGGCATTGCCCGAGTTTCGGAATTCTTTCATCTTCCACCTTCAAGACTGTTTTGCTTGCCGGTTACTTGTTATTCACTCCGCACCTGCCTGTAGACTGAAGTCATCGTGTCACCTGTTTTCTTGTTGCCACACATTTTCAAATACCTGTTGACTGTCGATTCACACACACATAGCAACCTAGAAAAAGACTACGGTCAAAGTGTAATTTTTCTTTTTTTTTTTGGGGGGGGGGGTTAATAATAATAAAAGTTTGACTACAGATTTTTGAGAAAATTACATATGAAGGGCACAGGGAAAGAAGGGTAGTAGTCCATTTATGAACATTTTTTTTTTAAATAGTTTTTTTCAATATAATATGTCATTAACTGTTTTTATTTATGTTAATAGATTGTTTAAATTAATATATTTTTTAGTAGAATAGCAATTAATGTGATTTTTTTTTCTTATGTAAGAGGGAGAGGAATTCACGAAATTTGTTTTTGCTATACTCTAAAATTTTCATACATGGACAACTACCCTTCTTTCCCTGTGCCCATCATATATTATAGGCTCATTCTAGATCTAACTTTAGTTGAATTTTCAGACTTTCAAGTTTAAACCATAAAAACTATAAAAAAAAGTTAAGAGTATCCACACTTCATGCAGATACATCAATACATGGATATGTCCTGCAATCTAGTATTTCTAATATCTTATCTCCAATCCACTATCTCTATTAATTCACCTCCATAATCCATAATGATGTCAGCACTGTGTCACAAAACGTGACAAACAAATTTTCAGAATGACTCCCATCCATGTCAAAAAAGTTTCCACTATATAATATGTATAATTTAATTAATCATCATTAATGTTATATTAGTTTTACAGACAAATAACACTATGTCATGTATTTTTTGTTTCAGATAGAATCTTTTGGACAGGCCACAACAGCGTTTTCATCTTTAAAAAACTGCTACAACTGCTACTACCTCCGTATTCTATCAAATTCTAAAAAAAATCATAAATTGTTGTTCCACTTAAGCTGCGCATTATTTCTGAAAAATCGTGTTTGTAATAATTAACATTTATTGTGAGTTTATTTCTAAATAAAAAAATGTAAATACATTATATATATTATATTAATAGTTTGAATTTTGTCGGCACAGGATTGAACATTTCTTTCAGTTTTTTTTGTATTGTGTTCTTTTTCTCCTGTAAATAACTTATTTTTATTATCTATAAGAAAGAATTTTTGTCTTATGTGTATTTCAACCTAAGTTTACCATTTTTGCCCTATCTATTATGATTAATAATCCAATATTATATAAACTATATTAATAATATGTATAAATAATGTTATCGTATAGGCTCGGTGTTTATGTACTATAAAAAGTTAACCTATTATCATTAGTATATACAATATGTATGGAATAAATATGTTATATATACTAAAACAAGATGTATTGGTATCCCTTTGTTGTACGTTTATTTGTAAAAATTAATAAGTATTGAAATGTAAAAACTAAATTTAAAACTTAAGATACAATGTTGCTTTTACAACGTGATCATATTGCAAACAAATTTGGGTTTGTGCAAAAAAATTTTTTTAGCGTATCTATTTTATTCAACTAAAACTGTTTTCATGTACAAGCATACGTTTACAATCAAAGTGACAATACAATACTATAATATACATTATTATACCGATTATTTTTAGCTAATCCCGCTTTTGAGTCAACTATTTATGTCGTTCTGTGCCAGAGAGTATTTGTAATGCTCAGTTTTTTTTTTTATAAAAATAACATATTGTCAATTATACCGCTTATGTTTGTTTTTATTGCGGGCCATTGCTCCTCAATATATTATTCTCAGACTTTTGTTCAGCTATGTTACCATTTCATAAAAAAAAATGACAGTAGTAATAATAATTAAAACTGTAATAACATGAATTACCACCTTATTAGAAAAATAAACTGTATGACTTATTAATAACAAAACTTGTGTTATACCCGTAAAAATAAATGAAAAAAATAATATTATAATATAAAAAAAATATTTTTTTGTTTGCTATTCGTTGTTTCATCACTTTTTTATCTCGGTCTCAGTTATCATATTATGATGTATTGAATTGTATTCCACTTAACCAACCGCCCCATCAAATATCTGCCCCTGATGTTTCTTTATGTTCTCCAAATCTTGTCCATTTTTTAAGCTGGGAATCCATGCCGGTTTCATTTAAAAGTAAACATTTTCCTTTCCTTGCATTTTACTTCCTACTTTCCACTTTCCTTCTACCTATCTTTGGATTATAAGCCAGATCTGGATCTGGACTATATCTGGATTAACCTGAGCAAAACCAACTGAACGTTATTTGTCCTTTTCTCCTACCATTATCCTCCGACTATAACTCCTATTTTCCAACCTAACCAACATTTCCTCAATTACTTGTGTGTTAAAATTGTGAATGATCTGATGCCATTAAATCTAACACCGATTAAGAAATGGCGAAATAATCTTATTCCGGGTAAAATGTTCAAATTTCACTGCGCCTTCTACTATATGGCGCACTTTACCTGGCTATTGTAATACGTATATATTTATATTTATATTTGCGCATCACACGTCAAATCTCCACCGTTATTTTTTATTACTATTACACTATTGAATTTAATATCCCCTCATTTAATTGTCTCTATTTCTTAAGGTACCCTCATTACAACTATCCGAGCCCACCTCCATAAACGCTTCTATTGTTACGCTGTCACTAACTGAATTAATTCAAATCACTTTGTATTGTTATTGAATTAAAATGTATTAACAAAACTATATCTGCATCGAACATATAAAGAATTTAAATTAAATATTTAATATACATATAAATAAATATACTATATACTAAACTTATACTTATAAATTATTAAATACATAGAAAATGATGAATATAGACTTCTACAATTTTAAAGGGCCAAGGTGATTACAAAATATGTTAGCAGCATCGTTTTGTAATGAAGAGTTAGTTTTGCTTGCCTAGACCGATAGAAACACGCACTTGTCTCCAACGAGTCCTCTCTATGTTTCGGCGGGAAAAGAATTTTTTTTTCGGTTGTTCTTTAGTTTCCAATAACGAAATAAACGACCACATCCAGTAGTTGACGTCCCAGATCTGTTCACGGTGTCGCAGCTGGGTCATGCGCAATTGCCTTTCGTCGAGTGGCATTTCAAGAGCTGTGTGAATGGCATTGGCCATTAGGTCCAATTCATAGGGATTCGCCAATAACGCCTCGGTCATTTTCTCGGCGGCCCCGGTAAAAGGCGACAACACCAACACGCCGGGTTCGCCTGTTTGACAGGCCACAAACTCTTTGGCTACCAAGTTCATGCCGTCCCTGAGCGGAGTGACTAGCGCTACACTGGAGTACCTGTATAGGCACGCCAGCTCCTCTTGAGAGAGGCCTCCGTAGATGTACCGAATTGGAGACCAGCTGGTCGTAGAAAAACGTCCTATGATTCGGCCGATTAGCTGTTCCACTTCGTCTTTCAACGTTTGATACACCTTAATGTCCGTTCTTGAGGGTACTGCTATTTGTATGAAGACGACTTTTCCCTTATTGCCGGGATACCTTTCGAGGAATTTCTCGTACGCCAGGATCCGATTAACTATTCCTAAAAAAAAAATGTGTAAATTTAAGACATAAGATACGAACTCTCGTCTCCTCCAACTAAGCTCAGGCTTTTGGAGACAAACTTTTTCTTTTATTAATCATATATTGTAAATAATGTATATTCTGTTTAAAACAATAACAATTAATCATCATCATCATCATCATCAGTGTGTTGACTTAATTAATTGTTACTATTATTTAGCCTTATAAAAAAAATATCGTCACTGACCTTTAGTATAATCTAGCCTGTCCACGCCGAGTATGACTTTTGAGTCTCCCGAAACGTTTAACAAAGGTGGAGTTTTTTTCGATAACATTTCAAAATCATGAAACGGAATGCCGATAGGCACAGGTCTTACAACAACGGTATGGTCATCGACAAATACCATCATGTTCGATCGGTCTACTATGCAATTAGGTTGCCGATCACAGCATTCCATAAAATTTGAACAATAATCAATAGTGTGGAACCCGACGACATCGTAAGCTAAAATAAAAAATTGAGAACATAAAGTGCATGTGAAAACCGAATTCTACTTCCACATCTTCTTTACATAAGAGGACACACAAAGCAGGAATACACGGTACGTCTGTTTTACCTAATAACCCGTCGAAAACGTCTTTATCCCAAGGCAACAATTTCATAATGTCCCACGACGGGAACGGTATGTGCAAAAAGAAACCAAGTTTAACCCGGAGGTTTTCACTTTTACACACTTCTCGTATCGTCTTCCCTGCTGTCAACAACTGATAATCGTGTATCCATACCATGGGAACCGTGTCTTCATCTCCGGCATCGTCTAGTTTTTTTATGGCTTGTCGTAAAGTGTCCAAAACGCAATTGGCAAACTTTTCATTTACTCTGCAATACGTCTGACGAATAAGAGCATACTTAATATAATATGACAACATCTAGATCATTGTGTTATTAAAAAAAATTGTAAATATATTAATTACTATCCAGTCTTTGCGAGCAAATGTAGCGCTATCTGGCATGGAATGAAAAAGAGGCCAGAATGTACCATTACAACAGCCGTTGTAGAACTCTTCAAATTCCTCCTTTTCCAGTTCTACGGGAACAATCTAAAATATTTTTATATAAAATAATTGCGGTACCATAATTTATTTGATCAATTTTTTTTTTTTTCATTCATTAGCTATTATAATTTAAAACATATTTTTATTCGATAATTTTCAATAAAAATAAATTATTTTTATATAAAAATGTTTTCACCGCCCCACGGAAAAACATTAAATCATGAATAGGTTTTAGAGTTACGGTTCCGTATAACCATAACGACTTATCTGTGTGGCTGTGCCTTAACAGTTAAAGTGAACAAATTCAAATTATTAATAAATATTCACTATATTAACCTGACTAGATTTTAGACCAGCAACGGGAGACTTGTCCGATGGGTCAGACTCGGGTATTGGAGTATCAGGTTTAAAATCATACAGACCAGTCCACCCGATCCATGTTCCATTACATTCAATAACAACTGGCGTCACGGCTGTCACAAGACCACCAGCACTTTGAACAAAAGAAAATGTATAAGTTTGTCTCAATTTCATTAAAAGTTATACATATTTATCAAAGATTTCTAAAATTATTTTTAATTAATTCAATGTTAATAACAATAGTAGTAGACGATTATAAAACAAAATTATTAAAATGGCAGCGTTATAAAAAAATAACGTATTTATAAATATTTTATATGGATATATGTATAAATGTACAGTCAGGTCCACTAGGAAGGCCAGGTTAATATTATATTATAATGTAATACATATTGTGTTTAAATTATAATTTTCGTATTGCTTCCTCGAAGAGAAAGATAAGTGGTTATTTGGGAAAATTTTTTCTGAATTTCGCCATGAGAGTAATAACAAATGTACCTATCCTTTTAGATAATACAACTTGGCTTTCTGTCCGGTAGTGAGTGTGTGTTCGTTCGTTTGACTGTAATTCCTAAGTCTATCGACAGCAGATGTGCATACAAGAGGGGGCCATGGGTCCCTCCTTTATTTATTTGAATTGTAAGAATTGAAAGAGTATTCTAATGTTAATTTTTTTTATAATATATTAAGTTTAAATATGTATTTTTTTCACTATATGAACTTTAATAACTATGACTATTTCTTATTTGTATTTGAAGTAATTTGTATGTTAGTACCCTTTTTTATCCCTAGACCATTCAATACATATATAAATAATTAATACTCAAAATAGCTAACCTTGGCTTCCTCTTCAAATTTCCTTCGGCATTTCGAATCAGAACAAACGGCAGTCGGTTTGACACGACGATCAGCGGACTTTTGTTTTTTTTAGGACTTATAGTAAGCGTACCTGCAACCCATATTGAGATGCGAACCAAAATGAATAAATGGTATTTGATTTAATACATTGGTGACATAAAATAAACAAAATTATTTTTACACAATATTTTAAATATTTATAAATTAAATTAAACCATCTAAAACTCGATTTCTAAAGAAGAAAACAAACACTCGCTACACGGAAAAAAATATATAGTTAGGACCACCATAATTATTATGGTAGTCTCAACCATTATTTATGGTTAATATAGGGACACAATACGTTTTTAGTAGGGAGTACTAAACTAAAATAGTTAACTATATATAGTTGGATCAACTATATAATAAGGTAGGCTTTCGATGAACCAATGAAAAAAACAGTCGCCTATGTCTAAAAATACATATTTCACAAAAAAAAGTATAGTTAAACCAACTACCCAAAAACAACTAAACTAGTTTGGTATTTCTAACTAAAATGATGTAGTTGGTGCAATCATATAATAGTAGATCCAACTAGAATATTTCCAACCATTTACTATAACCAAATTATTTTTGTCCGTGTATGGTGCAATATTATTTTAGGTTTGTATTTAGTAGAAGATAGTCTTAATAACTAATTTTCTAATTCATACTCTTTCAATCTGTTATTGAGTCGATTAAAAGTTTTAAGTGTTTCAATACACGAGAGTGTTCAGCATTATTTTTACTTTTTTGCGATTTATTAGGTCGTTACTTTTAAAATTTTGTTCTAAACATCGAGCGGGAGTTCAGGCCTACTCCATACCTGTAATTTATTACATGTTTGCTCCGAAACGAATGCTTATGGAAGTCAAACAGACTTATAGTCAAAACTTATATATTAAATTAATTATTATTTAATATTAAATTGAATGCAATATTCATACTTTGATTATCGTCATCGATATCGTCATGGTCATTATCACTATTGCCTTAAAAAATTAATTATGAGTTTAAATAAAAATATAGATAAATATCATAATGCATTTTTAGTAATGACTTTAATGGCATTATTTAGTATTGCATTAACACGCTTGGTTCTTTTTTATTGACAATCGCTTGGAATGTCTAATGCGCATGTGCGTAAAGCTGTTATGTGAGATTCCTTTGTTAATAAAAATCAAAAAAAATTTTAAAAATTAAAAATTAATTTAATATTATTTTATATTAAAATAAATGCAACATTCATACTTTGTTTATCGTCATCGATATCACCAGTGCCGTTATCAATACCGCCTTAAAAAATTAATTATGAGTTTAAATAAAAATAATAGAATTATAGATAAATATATATATTTAGTTACGAAACTAATACATTTAATTAAATAATATTAAATTATTTGATTTTCGTCATCGATATCACCATACCCGTATTCAATACCGTCTTAAAAAACCAATTATGAATTTTTTTTTTAAATAATTAGAATATTTCTATATTTTATGCCAGTAAATCGATTAAGACCAGATATTATAAAACTACTGAAAATACGTTTGGCCAGAACATATTATAATTAGGACTATACTATCATCAAATATCGCAAGGATATTATAGATCGGAAATAATCATATAATTATCAGGACATATCCATGTGTCAATGAATCTGCATGAAGTGTAAATATTCTAAGTTTTTTTTTGTTTTTAAACATAGGGCGAGATTAAGGCCTACTCCATATCTTTATTTTAATGTATGTTTGTTCCGAAATGAATGCTTAAGGGAGTCAAATAGATTAGTTACGAAACTAATAAATTAAATTAAATATTATTCAACTAAAATAAATGCAATATTCATACTTTGATTATCGTCATAGATATCGTCATGGTCGTTATCACTATCGCCTTAAAAACCAATAATGAATTTTAAAAAAATAATAGACATAAAGAAAAATATCATTTTTTTTTTTTATAGTATTGTACTCTTGGTTCTTTTTTATTGACAATCACTTAGAATGTCTAATGCGCATGTGCGAACAGAATGAATAAGATTAATACAATATTTAAAAAAATTGTAATATTTTTCGCATTAGTCGGTATTTTATACCATAAATACTAAACAATATTCAAACTAGGTAGGCGACATATTTTTTAAAAATACATTTTTGATTGTTGATGTTATTTTCCTTACCAGAGAAAATACACGAAGTTTAGTGTGTGTTAAGAACAACAGGTACGAAATTTGCATTCATACAAGGAATTCAAATTTGATGTGTTTTTTTTCGTGTATTCATGACCGTTAGAATATAATAATAGAACATTAATCGTGGCTGACGCTAATGATGAATAGTATTGACATAAAGAAAAGAAACGGTCTTTGTAAATACATTATTAATACTGATAATCGTATTGTTGAACGACAGTTAAATTTCAGTTGAAAATCCTTTTGGAATATTAAGGCAGTGCAATAATTAGTGTAAGCACTTATCTAATAGGACTCGAACGATGTATACAATATTTGTCATTAAAATACAACAATATTTAACCTAGGTTGGCATACAGATTTTTTACAGGTACATATTTTTCTAAGCAAACGTTGTTGTTGTCACAGCCAAATTTTTGTTGGGTAACGTTATTTTCTTTACCAGAGTTTAATATTAAATGGAATACGCGACGTTTTGCGTGCGTTAAAAACAACAGGTGCGAAATTTCCATTTATACAGATAATTCCAATTTGATATGTTTTTTTTGTGTATTCATAACCGTTAAACGTGATTGTTATTTTGAATCGAATATAGGTTAGGTTAGGCCTTACTGAAAAAAGTGCGTTGAGTAGGAATATGTTTATCTGCACACATTACTTACTAACCGCACTTCCCCTCCAGTCCTAAATATCAAACTGAAATAACTTTGAAACCAATTATATAAGACTGGTAATGGACCGGTCAAAATCTTCAGCAAAATATTCTCAATTCAAAAAAATAAACGAATATATAAGTTACAGTTTAAAAAACATAAGTCCATACGGTTTCAACATATAAGGGACGGGGATTTATAGTTTAAAAATGTAATAAACTCGTCCCAACTAATAACATGTATAAAAGTATAAAAAAAAGAGTCTAACATCTTCTAAGTAGTTGACTGGGCCATAGTTAACCAATCACTTGGTACAACGCACTATTTTTATTAAAAATTTAAGGCTATATCATAAATTAAAAATATTTTTAAAAAAATACACCGTAACTTTAATAGTTGCAGACGTATTAAATAATAAAACATTACCCATTGTTGACGCTAAAATGATGAATATTATTGTCATAAGGAAAAGACAGAGTCTCTGTAAATTCATTATTAATACTGATAATCGTACTGTTGAACGACAATTAAACTTCAATTGAAAATCCTTTCGGAATAACAAGGCATTGAAATAGTTATTGTAAGCACTTAGTTAATAGGACTTGAACGATGTATACAATATGTGTCACTAAAATATAACAATATTCAAACTAAGTAGGCTTACAGATTTTTCTACATATTTTTCTAAGCAATCGTTGTTGTTGTCACACACAAATTTTGGTTTGGTGATGTTATTTTCTTTAACATATTTAATATTAAACGGAATACACGCCGTTTTGAGTGCGTTAAAAACAACAGGTGCGAAGTTTCGATCCATGCAGAGAATTCTAACTTGATGTGGTTTTTTTGTTTATTCATGACCGTTGAACGTGATTGTTATTTTGAATTGAATATAGGTTAGGTTAGGCCTTACTGAAAGATCAGTGGAGAGTAAGGATATGTTTATCTGCGCGCATTACTCACTAACCGCACTTCCACTCCCGTCCTAAATTTTGAACTTAAATAACTTTGAAACCAATTACCCAAAACTGATAATCGACCGGTCAAAATCTTAAATAAACTATTCTTAATTTAAAAAGTTTAACAAATATATAAGTTACAGTTTAAAAAATATAACTTCATACGGTTTCAAAATAAAAAGGATAGGGTTATATATTTTTAAAATATTTTATATTTGTCCCAAAAAATAACAGCTATAAAAGTATAAAAAAATTTTTTTTTTTAAGTTTAACATCTCCTAAGTAGTTGACCGGGTCATAGTTAACCAATCACTTGTACAACACACTATTTTTATTGGAAATTTAAGGCTATGTCGTTTAACGAAAATCCTCCGTAATTGACATAACTTTTATTCCTTATTATTCCCTTTGCATTTCTCTTCAAATTTCAGGAATATAAACCGAAAAATAAAGTCAATTTGGAAATTTACTCAATCAGCAGAAATGCTTAGTTCAAAAATAGTATCTAGTTGGTAGTAAGGGGAGAGACCATACATAACTCAGGTATGTATTGCTACAAAAAATATACCTTTAGTTAACTCGCTTTATTACTTATTAAAGAAATAAAATAACTTGTGTAACATATTTGGATTAAATCATTGTCATATGGCATTACGTATGTACTACGTTATTAATCCACGGTCATACAAATTTGTTCACATATTTAAAAATTAACAGGTCTTTAAACATTTTTTTATGTGTGAATGAGCTTTAATAAAGTAAAATACCAGAAACTATATCAGTACTCGGGTGTAAGTATTAATTTTATGTTTAAGAGTTAAATGTGAATTTTTGGAATTGACTCATTTAAATACCTATTATGGTTATTTATAGTAATAAAATCATAAGTATAAATTACACTACACATGGACCGGCTGTTAATACGCATTTGTCGTTGGTTAATGAAGCATCAATACTTTGTATTATTTGTATAAAATACTTTATACTATTTTTGTTATGATTAATAAAATTAAAGAGTGAAATGAGTATAAAAAATATCAAGAAAATATTTTTAAAAAAAACATTTATTTTTAAATATTTAGAGATGACCTAAACATTTTAAGGCAGTTTATTCATATTGATTTCAATTGCCACCTTATTAAATGTAAGGTGCTTCAAAGGGTTAAATGGTTTACTACTCTTAAAATCTATAAATACCGTTCTCAAACGTCTACGTATATTTTAAAGTAGTGTATACTTTCAAAATGCTACAAAAATTACAATAGTTTTGAACATTTTAAACTCATTACTTTAACTTCTTAAATCTGTTTCAACAGTCTACTTTGACAAACATTCCATATAATCAACATGATTTTATCACAAGCTCGTTGTCTCTCTTTCTTAAGGTACCCTCATACAACTATCCGAGTACACCTCCATAAATGCTTCTATTGTTACGCTATTACTAACTGAATTAATTGAAATCACTTTGTATTGTTATTAATTTAAAATGTACTAACAAAACTATATCTGCATCGAACATATCATAAAGAATTGAAATAAAAAATGTAATATGTTTAAATAAATTGACTTCATAGAATGTATACTATACCGCTACTTAATTTAATACATAAAAAATGATGAATATAGACTTCTACAATTGTAAAGGGCAATAGTAATTACAAAATATGTTAGCAGTATCATTTTGTATTGATGAGTTAGTTTAGCTTGCCCAGTCCAACAGAATCAATCAGTTGCCTCCAACGAGTCCTCCTCTCTGTCTTTCGGCGGGAAAAGAATTTTTTTTTCGGTTGTTCTTTAGGTTTCAAGAACGAAATAAAAGACCACATCCAGAATTTGACGTCCCGCATCTGTTCACGGTGTCGCAGTTGGGCCATGCGTGATTGCCTTTCGTCGAGAGGCATTTCAAGAGCTGTGTGAATGACATTGGCCAATTTGTCCAATTCATAGGGATTTGCCAATAATGCCTCGATCATTTGCTCGGCGGCCCCGGTAAAAGGCGACAAGATCAACACGCCGGGATCGCCTGTTTGACAGGCCACAAACTCTTTGGCTACCAAGTTCATGCCGTCCCTGAGCGGAGTGACCAGCGCTACGCTACAGTCCCTGTATAAAGACGCCAACTCCTCTTGAGAGAGGCCTCCGTAGATGTACCTAATCGGAGACCAGCTGGTCGTAGAAAAACGTCCTATGATTCGGCCGATTAGCTGATCGATTTCGTCTTTCAACATTTGATATTCCTTTATGTCCGTTCTAGAGGGTACTGCTATTTGTAAGAAGATGACTTTTCCCTTATTGCCGGGATACCTTTCGAGGAATTTCTCGTAGGCCAGGATCCGATTTACTATTCCTAAAAAAAAAATAAAAAGCAATATTAATGAAGAAAAATGCAACATTTATAGTTATCGTCAGCGCACACAACAGACCTCTGCCGAAATACATATACGCTATAGAAAATTATTTTTGTGTGTAAGGATTTATTTAAATATTTAAAGTTATCATTTTTGTTACTGATTCAATCACTCACTCGTCATCAAAATTAAAAAACACTACCCGTATAAGTAGAAACGTGAAATTTTGCACAAAGGTAGGTCTTATAGTATAACTAAAAGGAGAAATCTGAAAGTTGCATTTTCCTAAAATTAAATGCAGCTGTAGTTCTAAATGCATGATGTGACGCGCATGAATATTGCTTGACTAGATAAGCACGGGTTTTTATTAATAAATCACAGATTCCCGCGCCGTCGAAACAAACTTCTCTTTCAGCGTTACAATATGGCAATAAGCAATTGTTTGTAAGAAAAAGAGCAAAATCTTCGAAGTGGCCGCGTAAATCAAATTCGCGGCGCTTTGTTCCCAATGTTCGCACCAATGTCTTGTAAAAAAATTAACACATCGCCCACGAAGCTAAGGCCAGCAAAAAGTAATGATATCTCCAAAAAAACCTAACAGTGAAACAAGGCCAAGTTCCAGACCCAATATATAATATTGTACGTTGCTACTTGAGAGTTTAGTTTATTTACTTAAAGCTACGACTGGCCCTTTTGCTCTTTTGGGCGGTTATATAAATAAACAAAGAGTCTCTAGGGATATTTTAGGGCAGATACAGGGTAACTTCCTTTCCCGGCTAGGGTCCTTTAATTTAGTCTTAGAAGGCGGACAGTAGTGGGTGTGATCCACTCACCGCATTGTACCGTAACAACTTGGTGGAGGCGCCGGGCATATCTACATTGTGGCCAAGTCTGCTATTTAATTAGTTCATAAGCCCACTTCACTCTTACTTTCATGAGCAACACTGTCTTTTTTTTTATTGCTTATAACTATGCCAGTTTCTAAATGAAGCATAAAAAACTCTTTATCAAATGTACTCATATAGGATTTACGTGGGTGATAGGAAGGAGATAATTTAGAAGAAAATAAAAAAGGTTCAGATCCCCTGTCAAAAAATTCAGCCAATCAAAGTATTATTACCTACATTGCGCCAAGTGTGATCCTTGTGTCTCTATATACAACATTTAAGACGTAATGTGAAGGAAAGAAATTAATATAAGAAATAGTTCCCTAATCCTCCGTCAATATAAAAAAAAATTGTTTTCGATTCATATTTCTTCGCGCATAGTAAAAAAAAATTAGTATACTTTATATCAAGTGTACTAAAAATATCAAATTTGGGAATTCGATGTGTCAAAATTCAGTTTAAAAACATTTTTTCAATCTATGTTTTAAATTAAAAGCGTCTAATCAAATTAACCAAACATAAAACTAAAATTCGCTTAGAAGTACTCAGAGTTAAGCGGTCTCTTAACCTAACCTATCCTTACTTGCCAAGTTCTATGTTCCACTGCTACTTGTAGACTGTAGGTGTAACCGAATATGTTGTAAATAATTAAAATAATGCACCTTATACAAACTTAAACCAATTTATATCATTAGTGTATTAACTAAATTAATCGTTACTATTATTTAACCTTATAAAATAATATCGTCACTGACCTTTAGTATAATCTAGCCTGTCAACGCCGAGTATGACTCTTATGTCTTCCGGAACGTTTAACGAAGGTGGAGCTATTTCCGAAAACCTTTTAAAATCATTAAACGGAATGCCGATAGGCACAGGTCTTACAACAACGGTATGGCCGTCGACAGATACCATCATGATCGATCGGTCTACTATGCAATTAGGTTGCCGTCCACAGCATTCCATAAAATTTAAACAATAATCAAAAGTGTGGAACCCGACGACATCGTAAACTAAAATAAAAGATTGAAAACATATAGAGTGCATGCGAAGACCGAAGTTCACTTCTACGTCTTCTTTACATAGAAGGACACACAAAGCAGGTATACACGGTACGTCTGTTTTACCTAATAACCCGTCGAAAACTTCTTTATCCCAAGGCAACAGTTTCATAATGTCCCACGACGGGAATGGTATGTGCAAAAAGAAACCAAGTTTACACCGGAGATTTTC